TTTTCAGGGCAAAGCTAAATCTTCAGAGGAAATGGTGCAGATAGCTGTGGGTAAACTTCTGTCCTGGGTGTTGGCATCGGAGTTGTTTAAAAATCAGAATTTGAGTCTGTTGTTTAGATCTCAGAACTGGTTGTATCTGTAATTTGTGGTGGCTCTAGGCAGCCTCTAATGGCCTAGGCTCCGTTGTACTGGTTCTTATTTTAATAAATTACCTTACCTTTTCAAAAAAAAAAAAAAAACACATATCAAGTCTACAAGAAAAGGGAGAAGCCACATCAGCAAGAGGTTAATCCAAGTGGCAGACTGTTAAAACAGAATAACAGTCCTACAACAAACTGCAACAGTCTTGTAACAAACTACTTACCTGGGCTATAAAGACCTGAGGAAGAAATAAAGAAGACAGGCATTTCATCCGAACAACTCCCTCCCTCTCTCACTCTCTCTCTCTCTCTCTGTTTTCCCTTCTGTTTTCCTCTCTCCTCRAGAGCTCAGTTCACTCCACGAACCCTGAGTTAGGCAGCTCCTAACAGATTGGTATCAGAGCATGACCAATACGCGATCTACAGCCATGGAGGCATGGGTTGATCAGGTGGAAGTCGAGCTCCACTGAGTTTCAGGCGAGATGCGAGGTGTAGCATTCAATGTCATGTTTTGGTGTTCTAGTTGAAGCTTTACCATTGTTGTTTCTAGCTGATTGATATGGCTTGCCTATGGTAGTTTGGTGGTAGTGATTGTTGATGGGATGTGGTTGACTAGTGTCTCCCTTTTGGGTAACATTTTCCTTGACTTAATGGATAAAACCCTAAGTTAGCAGCTGCTAAAATTGTGCTTCAATTTTAAGGGTCACTAATTATACCATTTTTTAATAACAGTAACAGTTTTATTAATTAGAACAGATCATACTTACAAAGGAACATGCATCCCAGAGATTGAGGTAATGAGATGCCATCAATAGAGTATACAAAAGTTAATTTGAAATCACTTCCCCCAAAAACATTCTCTCTGTGTCTCTGTCTCCGTCTCCGTCTCTGTCTCTCTCTACCTTTTGTTTAGCCAATACATCTGCCAACCCATTTGCACACCTATACATCCAATGAACTTAAACACTCTATCCCTTTTAAGCTCATTTATCTCTCAAGAAATTTTTATATTGCCATGGACTTCTTTTTTCCTTTTGAATCCACCAGATTACCACACAATCACTTTGGAGTCACCCTCTATGATGATGTGATGCTTGAAATACTCCCTCTCTTTGCTAGTCTCAACCATTAGCCTTTTGGTGCAGAGTAGTGTCAAAGGCTCTCCATTGCTGTTCCTGAAAATTCCCTCTATGCCAGAGGACTGGGGTTTCCCCTACTACAGCCATCAAAGTTGAGTTTGATGAAGAAGGGTGGTGGGGTTCCCATCGGGGGTATGTTCTTACTCTGCTTATAGAGGATTAAGCAATCATTTTCCAATTTTTAACAATGTCATTAGTGGAGAAAGATCTAAATATCAGTGACCTTTATCGTGATACTACCATGACCTTTTTGTCTTGTGCCTTATTCCTGAAAAGCCTTCCATTTCTTTCCTCCCAAGTTGATCATAAAACTGTAGCTCTAGTACATCTCCTTACTATCTTTCCCCTCCTCGTTGGAGGATTGAAAAAATTAGATACATCTGAGGGAGGGAGCCACTTGCATCCAAAGAGGGCAAAAAGTCAATCCCAAATAGCTGACACAAAGAACAAGAGATCAACAACGGATATTTATTAAACCCTCTGAGAGCACCCACAAGAAAGTGATCTGTTGTGAGTTGAAGTGGCTAGAAGGGGTGAGGTAAACAAAAAAGGACATGGATCGAACTAGTAAGAAATGATTTAAGCGCTAATAATTTAACAATGAATATGGCATTAAGCAGAACAGAATGGCAAAACAGGATTCATATAGTCGAGCCCATATAGTTGGGATAAGGCTTGTATGATGACAATATTTTTCCACGTGTTATTTTTATACTGTCACTTGAAAGAGAAAAGAAAAATACAGTTATAGGCCTAAGATAACTAGCAAAGGCTTAAATACTCCAGTTTTGATGATACAATGGTTCATGAGAACTAAGAGGATTGGAGCCATATTTCTGCCTTAAATTATGGAGTTCAATAAAGAAACCCATGGTTTTGTTTATCTCCCTCCAATTACATTTATCTTCAACTTGAGACAGGCTAAGCGTTTGCACTATTTATTTTGGGTAATACCCAGATGGCTGATAGCCAGATGCAGGCTTCATGGTCATGGACATGCACAAAAAGATATGTATCACCCCATAACCCCCATAACTTTCTGCTTATGTTTTGTCCGTGATTTGATATCTCCGTGACAGACAAGGCTTATGATCCCCATAAACTCTGCTTGTGTTTTGAGTGAAGAATCCTTTTTTTTTTAATTTGTCTATATGGTGACATTATTTTGATTTATCACTTGAGAAAATGTTCCACCCATGTTGCAAAGCCTGATCAAATGGATATGATCATTTTATGTTATGTTTTTCGGTGATAAAATAAAGTTTATTAAAAGAAAGTACAAGGAAGGTGATAATAAAGAAATAAGAGTTTCAAACCCACCAAAGCACCATCAAACTGATCATTTTATGTTATCAATTTGTAGTATTAGAGATTAGTGGGCGTACATGAAACACTATACAATTATAATCCTACATGTGCATCAGTAGACTTATGGGGCAGCTGAACTATCTGCCTACGCCATGTAATTCCTTTCTCCCATTGCATAGATATTTATTTGTCTCATAAACTGGAATTAGTTGATTCTGGAAATAAATAATTATTGTCCTGCTCGACGTTTGCAGATTATAGAGGAATGCGAGAAACGCATGAAAAGTGAAGATGTTGAAGAGTTGGTGGAGATGGTTGTTCAGGTGTTACCGGAGCATCCAGCATCTGTGGGGATTGAAAGAGGGACAGATGTAGATAAAATAAGTCCAGATCAAGAGTTAATGGAGGCGAACTAAGTTTGTATGTATTAATTCACACAGAAGGGAGACTAATCCCTTTTGTTGAATGGCAAACTTTTCCTTTCACCAAAAAGGCAACAACTCTTGCAATTTATATTAGGTGGCATTTGATAAATCTGAAGTCTGATGTCTAAAAAGTCAAAAAAGCTATTATTTGGGTCTAAAATCTGAAAAGAAGTAGAAATGATTTTTTGCTTTTTAGAGGTTCTAAAAAGATAAAATCTTTTGAGTTGGAACAACTCTCCAACATTTGAAATTAATTGTGAAGTTTACTATTTTACCCATGGAAATAGAATGTTTGATAATATTTGAAATAATAAAAATAATATTAAATAAAAATATTTTAATTATTTTTACTAATGAACATTATTAAATATTCTTATTATTACATAAATATTAATATTTATTTAAATGAAAATGATAGTATTTATTTTATTATTATTATTATTATTATTATTATATGATAATTATAAAGGCATTATTAGACATCAGAAATACGCATAATGTCAAATGCCCCTTAACCTCTTAAAAGCAGGTTTTTTGATCTCTAAGAAGCAAAAAAAAAAAAAAAAGGTTGAGAGCAATTTTGAGTTTTGAGTAGTGAAAACTTACTTTTATGCTTTTATTAATCTTCAAGTAAGGTTGAGTAGTCCTTTTTTATTTTTGGTAAATAAAGTTGTCCAATATGAGTGTTCCACCCTCCGAGAAATTTCTACAATTTTATCCCTATGGATAAATCTATTTGATTATTCTGTACATTTTTTTACATTTGAGAAATATCTTTAATAATTATTTATCATTTAATTAACTTATACTATTTGTTAATTATAATTTATAAATAGATTTAACATTTTCATTACTTTAAATATTTTTTAATAATTTTAATTTCTTATATTATGGTTTTATAATTCTTTAATATACATATTACTTTGTAGGATAATGTATTTACATATTTTATAACTATTTATTATTAATTTATCGATTTTAGTTATTATTTAATTAATTATAAATGTATTAATATCTATTACCACGTTTCATTGTTCAAACAAATTTTAATAACTTTTAATTTCCATTATTATTATTATTATTATTATTATTACTATACAATACTTAATGTGTATTACTTTTTAAATAGTGCGTTTTCTTTGTTTTTTGTAATTATTTAATTAATTTATTACAAATTATTTATTAAATAAAATTTCACAGATAAGTTTAATGTTTCTTATTTTTCATTATTTTAAATAAAATTCATCAAATAATTAAAAGTCTACAATTCATCATAGTTATCAATTATGCAAAATAGGAAAAAGAAGCACTGTTCAAGCCTTCATTGAATATCCATTACGGTATTACCTTCCAAACCAATAAAATGAAAATATTTTACTTAAAAAAATTCTTTAGTCAAAGTCCCAGAGCACACAAAATAAATAAATAGTCAAGAATTATCTATACTTTTTAAATATTAGCTAATTTTAAAGAAAATTTTAAAAAGGTGAGGCACTTAAACCAACATTTCATATTCATAACCGTTTTAATCTACAATAAGAAAAAAAAAAGGTAGGGTAAGTATAAAATCGCTACCTGTACTTTGGAATAGTGATATTTCGCCTCCTTAACTGGCATGGCAGGACTATTATCCCACCATTTTTTCCCTAACAGGGAATACTTTGTCCTATTGTAAAATAGTTATCCTATTTCAGCAAGGAGACGTGCGGAATGTGGATAGAACGATCAAAAAGGAGATTGTACGAGTTTCCTAACTAGTCATCCTCTTTCTTCTTTTATGTTTTTAAAAAGTCAAAATGATGAAGTTCCAAGCATGGTTTCTGAACTGCCGTTGATTCAAACGGTCAGACCATTCAATTCGGGAATCATTCAGGCAATTGATTCTGTTTTATTCTAAACTTGTTTCTTGGTCAAAAAGCGTTTAATCAGTTAACAATCTGTTGATTCGGGTGATTGAATCATCGACTCGTTCAATGATTTTTAGCCGTTTTTTATTTTTAATTATTTTTTTAATTTTTTGTCAAAACAGACCATCCATTTGAACCAAACAATCAAACCATCGGCCTGGAAACCGATGCCCATAATGGTTCTGAGATGTTTTTTAAAACCATGGTTTCAACTTTCAAGACTGCTTTGTGAAGGCACAAGGGCCAGAATGATGAACCATTCTGTTTGGTTACAGAGTTGTATTTATTTTATCCACTTTTTTAAATTGTAATGCACTTCTCTTTTATTTTCAGCTAGGTCAAGATTAGGGGTGTAGGCAAGCTGAGTCAATTTGCAAGCTATTCAGGTTTAGCTTGCTAAATGCTTGAACTCAGTTGGAAGGTTATCAAGTCGGGTTGAATTTGACTCGATTTGAGTAGTTAGTTGAATCGAGTTCGAGCTTCATAATACCCTGATCAAGTAGCTCACAAGCTTAATTGAGCTTTTTAATAAAATGATATTTTTAATATATTTTTATCTTACTCCATTTGGTTGTTGAGAAGGGATGGAATGAGAAGGGAAAATTTATTTTCTCATTTTGGCATTCTGGTGTTTGATTGATGAGAAGGAAAATTTACTACTGCTTCATCTCTTGATTGTAGGCTGCGCCAACTTTTCTACGAGATATGGTCTGCTTATATCTCTGCAACTTGGTTCAAAACCAGCAGTGGTGGTTTCTTCGGCAAGACTAGCAATGAAGATCATGAAAACTCACGATCTCGAACTCAAAACTAATGGGGCCGATGATCTCTCTCTCTCTCTCTCTCTTTCCTCTTTTTCCTCCTTTCCCTCTTCCTGTTTTTTTCCTCTTCTTCTTCATCTTTTTCTTTGCTTTCCTCTCTACTTGAACCGGTAATGATAGCAAGACCTTTGTCCCTCCCATTTTCCTTGATTTCAACCCCCTTGTTTTTCTTTCTCATTGGGGGCGCACTGAACATTCCAAATTTTGGGAAACCACGTCTCACTATTTCTCGGTCCATCTCACAAAACAAATGAATGAAAATGAGAATCTAAGAAGAATATTCCCATTTTTTCTTCTCCTTCTTACCAACCAAACAGGATTGACATTTGTAAGCATACAAAAAACTAGTCATCCAATGAAATCAAATGTCATATCATGATAATTGGTACCATGTAATAAAATTGATGTTCAATGTTTTGTTTTTAGACAAAATAAAAGAGAAATTTAAAAGGGAAAATGGAGAAATAGACTACCATGTAGAAGCTACAATTACAAATGCGAAATGGGCTTGATTGCCCACAACACCAATCTAGCACTTGATTGTATAAATTCCATCTATTAATTGAAATTACAACGTGTAACCCAAAAAACCCAAGCACATAATAGAAACTAACTCAAAGAAACAAAAACCTAAGTCTAATTTTGAAATTAGATCATATTCATGGTCATCATGAACCATAAATGCTAATTACCATTTGATTTAACCTAGAGGAGAGATTGAGAGAGTAACTGATGGGGGTGAGCTACTTGTAAACTCCAAATCAACATTTGATTAAACCTATAACAAACAAATTTTATAAAAATTAGTAAACTATTACAAAGTGATGGGGAGAGGAAAAAAAGGTTAATACCAAAAACCTAGTCTTTGCAAAAAAAGGAAAAAACGAAGAGAGGTAAACAATTCCGTTGAATACATTTGATTGGGAACAAGGAGAGATTTGTGCAAGACCACAAAAAAAAAAAGAAGTTGTGATCAACTATGAGGGGTTCCTCACTTTTTCTTTGGTATAGTGGCACTGTGGGTTGCAACGGAGCACCAAGAGAGGGAAAGGTTGAGACAAGGGTCTAAATATCGACACGGGCCAATATGCCCGGTGTATTGGCCTATATTGGTGCTTTTTTATGTTTTATTTTTTATTTTTTGAAATCGGTTTAGAGGGGCCGATTTAAGGCCCGACTACCCTCTGAACCAATGGCTGACCTGATACAACCCCTGTAGGGGTGTATCGAGAAACCACCGGCACGGTATATATACGGGCCGATACATGTCGATACTTTGAACCTTGGGTTGAGAGGCAGCAAGCTAGTGATTTCTTGATGCAAAACTAAGCAATGTATTTTGCTTTATAAATTTAGTGAGTCTTATGAGTATTAATTCAAGCAAAATATTTTATTGGTAAAATATTCAAAGTCGGTTAGCATTGAACTCAAATCAAACCTAATTGAGTTTGAGCCTGAATTGTTCGACTAAAGCTCGATTTGATTACATCCCAACCCTATAGTTGAGGGTTTTGGAGTTTACATTGGTTTTTATCAAAATATTTTAAATATTATAATGGGGCAATAACAATAGGATCTAGGGTTGTTCATAAGAAGACCCAACTCGACCAAACCGATCAACCCGGACCGACCTAACCCGAGTTGGCCGGGCTTTCTTCAGCACCAGTTGGTTTTAGGTTGTAAAAAATCATAAATTGATGGTTCGGGTTAGTTTTGGTTTTCATGTGTGAAAATCGAATCCGATCCGAACCGAACCGAGTTAGTAGTTAGTTCCTAGTTAGTAGTTACAGCCTACTTAGTTCCTACTTAAATAAGTTGTCTCTATCCTAGTTACAACCTAACTTATTTTCTAGTTTTCTAGTTAGGAATGACATTAATGGAAAGTATTGTAAGACAATTAGGCAAGGAATTTTTTTGGAAAAGTTTAAAGAAAAGAATCAAAGAATCATAGTTTCTATGGTCTTTTACACCAAATAGGCAACCAATTATAATTAGAATTAAGTGTCCTTTTTTACTTAGATTARAAGGTTTCTTGAAAGATACAAATTTCAGTCTTCTTTCTCTAATACAGTTTGACTTTCCATTTTCTTGATACATAAACTCAATTTTTTATGTGCTTCACAAAGTTATTGGCCTGTTTTTTTCTTAATTTATGTACTTTCCTTGCTGGATGATGATGTTAGCTACTTCTTTGACGGCCAATCTACAAATTTATTACCATGGTTGAACTTAGAGTCGAAATCGACCCAAATCGAACCAGCCTGAATCAAACCGATCAGGTCGGTTTTGCTTAACATAGGGTCGGTTTCGGTTTCAATTTCAGGTAACCCGACCAGGTGGGGTCAATTAGAAAAATCCCAATAAACCAACCCAACCTGACCCGTAAACAGCTCTAATAGGATATCTTCACACCCCCCCCCCCCAAAAAAAAAAAAAAAAAAATTAAAGTATAATTTGTAGAACAATGAAAAAACTTTAGTTGTCGACGTTATAATGCTCTTCACAAGTTCTATCCACAAGTTCAGTTTTGCTATTACATATTATGGCTTAATTCAAGGTAGGACCATAGCAATATATCAAAGGTTTTGAATTCATGGTTTTAGCATGGGTTAAAATCATGTTATATCAAAAGTGGTTAATCTCTTATAATTCATTCATGTAAAGCTTAAGTGGTGTTTGGTATTGAATCCACTGTTGGATTTTGAGAAAAGCTAAATTTGATACAAATTTCCAAGTTTTATTGCTTATTTCCTGTATCAAAACACATACACATAACACATTATTAAATGCTATGTAAGAAAAAATGCTTTTCCTATAATAAGAAACTTGAAAAGACGATTTTCAAAAAAATAAAAAAAATTGAAGTAAAGAAGTACCACCAATTTGATACTGGTGATCAACTAGATAAAATGCTTGGCTCCAATACCAAACACCCTCTTAATCTACACAGCCATGGTTGGAGCATTGTTATTTATGGTATGGCAAGAAAAGATGACTATGTACTAACTAATATACCAACAAGCCATCTCTTAATTAATTTAAGTATTAGGATCATATTTATATGCGATTGAAATTGATACAAGTCCAATCCAATTATAGCTCTCTCAACTATCCATTAGAGTGAAGCAAAAACAAAAAAAAGGAGAAAAAAGAAATGGATGGAGTATTGGTTAATATATAAGACTTTGTTTTTTCTAACAAGTGTAAGATCACATACTATACACGTGTGCAATAAGTATGCTATCTGGATTTAGCTTTTTTGACTTGTAACAAAATCAAGACAAACATCCCTTATTACAATAATTTTTGTTTTAAGAAAAACCATACACATGAGCAAACATTCTCAAAGTGAAGTGCCTATATTTATTTATGGTTAAGAAAATTTCCTCTATCCACAAAATACACATATACTAACATCTCCCTAAAATAAATTCATGGTTTATTTAGAGAAAAATAATCTATAATAATATAAAATATATAATGCTATTTTCATTGAATAATTGGTCTAATTTTTCTTATCAATAGGATGTGACAAAATGCATTTTTACCATAAAAAGATGGATTTCAAAARGCACTTGCTTTCACAAATTGGGTCTAAAGTAAGACAAACAAACAAACATTTGTCTTAATTGAAAATAATTAAAAAACATAATTTAAACAAATTTCCTTTTTTTTTTCTTGTAAAAATTTAAACACAATTTCAAGTCAATAAAAAAAAGAGTTAAGGAGTATAAAAGATTTAAAAATCTGCCACGAATATAATCAAGAAGCTAGGGAGCAAGGAGGATGGGTTAATAATGATCAACAAAAGCGTCGAATAATAATAATAAGTTTATCCAATTTGATGGATAATGGGAATAGTTAAAATAAAAAAAAAGACATCCATATTATTTTTCTATTGTTGTGTTCTTAAGATCTTTTTAGGGCCCATTTGGTTTGTGAGAATAGGGGTTTGGAATGGACCATTTTCCACTTGGTTTTCTAGTGGAATAACACATTCCCCCATGTTAGGGAATGATTATTCTCTCTCCCTTCTTCTCTTTTCCTCCCTTAGAATTGAGAATCCCATTTCAGATGATTCCGATTCTAATTTAGATTCCATTTGAAGCAAAACATATGGGGGAATAATAAACCATTCTGATTCCGATCATGAGGGGTTCTGATTCCAATTCTAAATGTATTAACCAAACGGACCCTTACTATTTTATTATTTTTTTTGCACGTATCTTTTTATTGTTAGGGTTGAATAGAGTAGGCGATCGAGTTGCGGACAAACGGCGACGGCGTGCCCAACCCAAAAGACTGAGAGTTGAGAATTGAGAATTGAGAATTGAGAATTGAGAATAGAGATTGCTCACCGAAGAAAATAAAACGTGTAAACGAAACTACAAAAGGATATAAAGCACGTGGTTGAGGCCGTAAATATTGAAATATGTTCGGGACATTACCGTCCCACAGGGAATTATCCGTGATTCTCCAAGACCAAGAGACGCCTTGGAGTCACATTTTTAATTTCGAAAAAAATACAGCAAATCATTTTTGATCTCTCTCGATTCCAATATTTCATCTTCTCAACGGCTCGATTCTCATTTCATCTGTCTCAGTTTTTCTGTTTGGTCAATATTGATCTTGCTAGAATCTGGTGAATCTCGGCTATCTCATTTCGGAGGGAGTTTGTAAGATTCCCTTTTTTTTCCCCTCCCGGCGGCCTGTCATCTGGTTTCCGGCTACTTCGCCCTCGGTTTCCTGTCGATCTGCCATTTAATGCTTGAGCTGCGGCATTTGGATAGGTCGTCTGTGGAGTTCAGCTTCCAGTCTGCTTAGGGTTTGGTCTGGTTCGTGGCTTAGAAGTTAGGGTTTCAAGCTTTGGATTTTGCTTTCTTTAATTTTTGGTACTTCGTCATGCCGCGAAGTTCTCGACATAAGTCACACAGGCAACACAAACACAGTTCTAAGGATACTAGAGAATATTCGGACTCTGACGAAGATGGGAGTTTGAGAGATAGGAAAGGCAGGGAAGAAGCTGCTGCTAGGGTTTCCAGGGATTCAGCGTCTGGTGAGAAACGGAAGCTTGGTTCTCAGTCACAGGATGGCAAAGATCTTTTCGGTCCAGGTAACGGTGATATGTCAGAAGATTATGTTGCTTCGAAGAGGCGGAAAGATAGGGCCGATGCTGTAGTCACTGATCGCTGGAACGGCGGCGAGGACGAACAAGGAGACTCTTTAGTTGGAGACAGAGAGACGAAAGGGGACGGGCCACGACCCGATTCAGATAAAGGTCCCAAGTCAAAGTCTTCAGTTGATTCGAAGAGTAAGTCTAGCAGAAAGAGCGATAGTTGGAGTGAGAGAAAAGAGGAAAATGTGGTTTCAACAGGGGAGAATGAGGAGGCAAGGAAGAGTATGAGTAAGGTTGAGTCAAAGCGTAAATCTGAAAAGGATTCAAGTCGGAAAGATAATCATCAATACAAGGATGCAAAGGAAAAGGAACGGGGAACAGAGAAGGATAGAAAGGTTCAAGACGTTAGGCGTGAGAGATCAGTTGATACTATTCCGGGGTCAGGGGTTGCGGGTGGTGAATTAGGTAGGAAACAAGGTTCCCAATCAGGGGGTTTTGAAGAAGAGCGTCCCGTGAAGCGGGAAGCAGACAATACAGGTAAGGTAACCGGTTATCATGTTTCTATTTGTTTATTGTCAACTTCCAGTACTATTTGAACACTTTAAGAACTGATTTCTGCCTTTTAATGTGGCTTTTACCTATCTCAAGGCCTTTTTTTCAAACTTTGGATTTTTTTTTTTTTTTGTTGAAAATCCTGTTCACTCCCTCCATGACTGATCTTTTACAATGGTTGTCGTCTTTTATTTTTGTATGTGGTTGAGATTGTTGGAGTTCATTTCAACTTGCTATTATGTCTGTACAAACTYAACTCAACCGAATCTTAATCCCAACTGTTTGGTTGTTGGGCAAATGAATCCTAGAACTTATTAAACATCTCTACCAAAAGGAGAAAAAAGTGTTACCGCATCTGTTCATTTATGGTTAATTTCTGAGTCAACTTTATTGAGTTCTAAACTGCAAGAAATGAAAGAAGAGATTCCAGCAATCACTGATAAACTGGAAAAGGATCCAAGGGCCCTACGAGGAGATTAGGGGGATCTATTTTATGTTTGCCTAATAAATCTAGAGTTGTTTTTACAGAACTATGGGTGTCAGGGATCTTGGGAAGGAGGTATTGGATTCCCTATAAACTAGTTGTGGAAGTCTGAGCGGAAAGTTGGAGGGGTTTGGGGAAGTGTGCTTCATAAGTACGATATGGAAAGTGTATACATTCAAGGACAGAGAATCAAGATTGATGTTCTGATATAGATTGCCAAAGGGGAATTCAAGATTCACAATATAAGGGCACAGAAGCTAGATAAAGGTTTCTGTCAAGATGAAAAAGAAGAAAAATAAAAAAAAAACGGATTTGATGCTGTTTCATAAAATTTTAGGATTATGAAGTTTACAAGACCAAACAATTGAAGAATAAGGGTTTAGGGATAACTTGAAAGATTAGGGATTTTAATATAGTGAAACTAGTCTCAAGAAAGTAATACCCTGGTTAAAGATAACTACTGAAATCAAGAAAAAAATTCCAAAATTTATGTTACTCCTGCATCTTCTTTAGAGTTTCTGACTTTCAATTAAATCAAGAAAAGATTCAAAAGTTTTACATATCAAAAAAGGAAAAAAATCAAGAAAAGATTCAGATTTAAAAAAAATGAGGAACTGAGATTTTATTTCAATAACAAGATATGTTGATATAGATAAACTGGGAGTTGATACACTTAAACATTTCTTGATTAAGATTAATGACACTTCACTGTTGAATCAAGATCCATCCACTGGAGTTGCGCCATAGGAAACAAGAAATAAGTTATGCTAGAACTTCTGTAACCAATTTTTTCATTAAAAATTCTGTTTACAAAATCAGATTTATGTATAAAAGAAGCAAAAAGTGTCCTACCTAAGACTATCCTACACTTGCTGGCTAGACAAGAAAATAAAACAACTCAGAAAAACTGAACTATACATATAAAGTGACGATGTAAGAAAATTAATTGCTAATGAATTTCTGTGGCTTTTCTGATGAGCTGTCTGGATCTGCAGCTTGCTTTTTATGATGTTCTAGTTTGTACAATTAATTGTGTGTTTTGGGATTGGAAGGAACTCGATAACATATGAGCTTGTGAGCTGTCATGGTAGGCAGTGTTAGCTTTCATCTTTTTTCCCCCTTTTTGGTTGAGAGGATGAGACACTGAAATTACTTATGGTCCTTGATGATCAAACTGTCAGACATTCTATTATGTTCATTTCAAAAACTGTGGGAATGTTGGGCACCATTATCAATAACTGTGGGAAGAAAGCTTATTTGGGGTTTAACACTTGATGAAAAGAGCAAAGAGAGTAGGGAGCCTTGCTTACACTACCTGTCAAGTAGGTGAGTGAAATTTATCTTTCCATGGATATAAGGTGGCCTCAAAAGTGAAGCATAAAAAGCACTCTCTGCTTCAAGAGTAGTGAAGATGCTAATCATTTATCTCTTTCTTGTATGAAATGTGTGAAATCACTTATTCCCATATTTTTTTTTGATGAGTAATCAAAGGCACTTTTTCCCATCGTTGGCACTTCAGCAAGCTTGCCCAACAGGGTTTTTTATTCTCTACTTCTGTTGACACCCTTCAAACATATGTAAAATACTTTGGCATTGCACTAAATCAGAATAAAGCAGCACTTTTATATTGCATCTGTTGTGAAAGGAATTCTGGGGAAGTGGATGTTGTCACTGACTTTATGAAGGTGAGAATGGTTCACTATTACACATTTACATTAAAACAAAAGAGGGTGGCATATTGTGTTTTGAATGAGGAGATTAAAAGGGGTGCCAATGTATTCAACATTGAGAGGGTGATCTACAGCTAGAGGTGAGCATTATTCAGTTAAAACCGAACTGAAAATTTCAGTTTTGGTTTTTTCAGTTCAGTTATTTCAGTTTAGGGTATTTTGGTTCGGTTAATTCAATTTCAGGGTATTTCGGTTATTAACCAAATTTATATTAATGTATAATATATATATATATTATTTATCGACTTAAAACAAGTGTATTAGATAACCAATTTGGCTTTATGCCAGGGAGATCAACCATTGGAAGCTGTATATTTTTTTGAGATGATTGATAGAAAAGTTCAGAGAGAAGAAGAAAGATCTTCATATGGTGTTCATTGATCTAGAAAAGGCATATGATAAAGTTCCTAGAGAGATAATATGATGGGTCTTGAAAAAGAAAGGGGTTCAAAGTAGGTATATAGACCTAATTAAGGATATGTATGAGAGGGCAACAAATAATGTCAGAACACTAGTGGGAGAGACTTCAGATTTTATAGTTACTATGGGTCTCCACCAAGGTTCAACACTTAGCCCTTATCTATTTGCACTGATCATAGATGAATTGACTAAACATATTCAAGAGGAAGTTCCATGGTACTTGGTGGTATGGTGTCCCATTTTCAGATGCTCTTTATTAGAAAGAGAGATTGAGGAATGCATCAATCTGGCAAGGGTTTGGAAGAGAGATGGTTAGTCATCACCTGATATTAGGTTGTGGAAAAATGTGCAAATTGTGTGTTTACAGTAAAGTCATTTTATAATTCTATTATCAGAAATCAACTGAAAATTCTGATATTAGAGGAGTGTGGGGAAGTTTTGTGCATGGCTGCATTCTCTTGATAATATTCTAACAATAGATCATTTGAAAAGCAGGGGATTTTGCCCAGAAAGCCAATGCATTATGTGCTGTAATCATGAGAAGACTGTCATCAATTGCAGTGTTGCAGAATTTATTTGGAGGTTCTTTGCTGGGCTGTTTAGAAGACCCATGCATGATCCAGTCCGTTCAAAGAAGATTTTTCTCTACATGGCCATCGTTACCTGGAAGCAATAAAGCAAAAATATTTTGGAACATGTTGTTGGGACAAGGCCTAGATGATGATGGTTCCTTTTGCAGTTTGTTGGGGTATGTGGAGAGAAGAATCTTGAAGGAAGATCCAGAGATATTAGGAGGGTGGTGGCTGATGTGGTTTCTTATTATGGATTGGTGTTACTTGCCCACCCTGAAAAAGACATATCTTGGTCTTCATTTGCATCTGACTTATGGTCAACACTTGAAATTATCAATGGAGTCTCTATGTAATCTTTGTAATATTTCTATTTGTACCTTTAATAAGTTGTTGGTTGAGTACTTGACTTCATTCTCAACATGGGTCAGATTGTACATTTACCTTTCCTTTTTATAAAATTTCTTTTCTTTACTATAAAAAACAGCTGGGCAAGATTTCCTGTTCCAGAATGGAAGCAAGGAAGTAGCTGTGTCTGTGCATCATATGGTGGTTAGTGGCTTTTGTTATCTTTCTGAGAATTGTTGTTATTAGTACGTCTAGGACTGAAAACTTTTCTAGAGTAAGGATGTGGAGAGAACTAACAATTGTATACTATCAGGTAAGGTTGTTGAATTGAATTAGAGCTCTACTGAAGATGGTGGCAGGTAGCTGTGATTTGTGAACTGAGTCAAGATACCTATTAATAATTGCAAGTGTTTGGTTAATCTTGACTGTATCAAATGAAACTCTGGGGATTTCTGAGGTATATGTTGCTTATATTGTGATTGATTTGTTTGGATGCCTAGGAAAATATCAGGATTTTGAGAAAATAGGAGCCATTATTTGTGTTTTTTTTAACAATGTCATGGTCTTTTAACCCTAAGAAATTAATGCATATTGCTATGGAATATAGAATGTTCTAGGCTTTTTGTATGATTAATTACAAGTAGAAACTGATCAAGAACCAAAAGGTTTTAACAAATAATCTTGATTGTAAAATCAGGGTTTGCAGTCTGATCATGATTTTGGGGATGAAGTGTCTGGTCAAAGCGGTTGGGAGTGGTTTCAATCAGGATTTCTCGTGTTTGTTTTCGGTTATTGTGGCTTGGTCGTTCCTTTGTAGAAGTAGGTTGTATGTTCTGTTCTTTTGTTTTTTTTTTTCTGTTTGATTTTTAGGTGTTGAGATGTAAGTTTGGTTAGAGAGTGGGTGTTTGGGCTACATGATTGAGTAGTGTTAAGTTTTTTTCACCACTCCCCACAAACTAAACAAAAATTAGTTTTGTAGAGCACGTTTTGTATTGACTGATGGCATGAAATTCATCTTTCTGCCCTTGGCCTTTCTTATTAGTTACCATTTGACAGTTTGGTTGTTGTGTTTCTGTAGGAAAAAAATTGTATTAACTGATAGTGGGAAATGCATCTTTCTGCCCTTAGCAATTCTTATTAGCTTCCATTTGACAGTTTGGTTATTGTGTTTCTGTAGAGTGGCAGATACAAGATGACTTGCGTAATCCTGAGTTAGAGAAAGAACTTGAGAAACGGATCAGGCGTAGGAGAGACGGCTCAGGTGACAAAGATAAATATCAAGATGATGTCAGGGACAGTACTGAAAAAAGATTGTCTTCTAGGGATGATCATTCCAAGAATGGAAGATATAAAGAGGAAAGGAATAAAGATGGGAGGTACAGAGTTAAGTATCGAGAAGATCTGGAGAGAGATCACAGGCCCAGGGATGATAAACACAGAGATGAGCGTTCTTCTAGAGATCATATAAGCAGTAGGTCTGACTCTAAGCATTTGAGGGATGAAAGTATATCTGCAGAAAGCCGTCATAAAAAATCTAAGTCCCAGGATGATGATCGTGATGGTAGTCCACATCCTGACAACCGAGGAGCCAGGTATAAAGATATCAAAGGAAGGAAAAGATCTAATGATGATACTGATGATCATGGTGATATTAAGCTCCAAAGTAGCAAGGAACACCGCTCTGATGTTGAGAAGAAGTCATCTAGCAGTAGCAAAATAGACTCACATGTCGATAGGGGAAGGTCTCAATCACGCCATGCTGATGTTGATTCTTCTGTAAGCAATGCAAGGCGGAAGAGTTCCCCAAGCCCTGGTGCTCATGTTTCTAAAGAGCAGCATAGGTAATTTTCTGCTTGTATCCCCCCATTCGATTTGCTATTTTCTTCTTTACATCTTTTTAAATCMTTTGTTTTCCAGAAAACATATAATATGCTCCCATTATGTGATATTGTGGTTACGGAATAACATATCTTCTGACACTTCAACATGTGTTTATCTTAGTCATCAGAATACTGTGGTGTGAATATTTAAAAACACGATTTATGGTTTTCTTTTGAGAGAAAAGTACTGATATATTCATTGATTAAAAAAAGGTGTGTATGTGAAAGGATGTACATGAAGAACAAAGAGATAGTAACCCTTCCCACATCAACCAAAAATTAGGCAGGAATAGAGCTATCACTATACAAAAGGGTTGTTCCTGCCTCAACTCTTGCTAATCCATCAGCAATCAAGGGGGGTTGAAATAATGATTCAGATTTCATCTGCACTAGGACCTTGGCTTTATTTGAGGTGGCATCTCTGATATGTCCACTAATGTTCCAAATCATGCTCCTTTTTTTATCTCACATTCAGTATGAGGGAGTGGAGAGCTCCTACAGAATATTCTTCAAGTAGGAACCAAGGATTTCCACTAGTGTCCTTTGCACGAAAGCCAGATATATGCTTTTATTGCAATTTACCGGGATTTCACCAAAAAGAGAATCCTTCTCCATAAAGCTTCAAAAGAGGATACCTTGTCATCAAATATATGTTTCTTTCTCTGAAAAAAGATCCTTGTGACCAGTTTTGTCAAAGTGTTGACTAATCACAAATTGTCAACTGGACTAGTCAGCCAATACTCAATACTCGTGATGCAGTTGGCGGTTGCCACACTTAGGTAAAAAATTTGGTCCAAAAAATCATTATTTGAAGAACAAGTTTTGAGCCAAAAGTGATTATTTTTTGAAGCTAAAAAATTTAATTTCAAGGAATCAATTCTTAGAATGAGTTACAAACCCAGAAAAAGAATTAGTTCCAACAATTTTCATAAATGCAAACTTAAAGATTGATTCTTTGAAACACAAAAGCCATCAGAGTTGATTCTTTGAAAGCATGCCAAACACAGTCTAAGCATTGACTGGGTTGACCAGTGGATTAATGACTAGTCAACTTAGCCGCAAAGTTTTTTAAAGCTTTATTTGTTTGTTTGTATTTCTAATTATTTGAAATGATATAGAATAGAATATTCTAGTATTTTGTTATGTTTGTACTGTTGCTTTAAATATTTGCGATGGAACATGATTGGCTGATGGTGAAGATACCAGCTGGCTTGCTGGTAAGGTCTCTAGCTGGTCATAGCAGAGACTTGGGATTGAATCGCGAGTCTGGGTGCTAACTGGTTATTGCCTCACCATGGACAACACTGCTTGGGACAAGTTGCAGCATAGCTGTTTCTTTGGAAAGGACTTTTTTTTTATTATTATTTTAAAACCATGGATTTATATCCATGTTAATTCTGTTAATTACCATGAAGAAGAGGACGTCTGGGGGTTTTATACCATCCTGGCTTGCTAAAACTTTTCACTTACTCAAAATGAGGGTACCATTTGTTTTATCTGATTGGATTTAGTCTTTTGTTTGCTGATGTGACCCTATAAACGACTGCCTATATGTTTCTTTGCTTACATCAACTTTCTTTCTCCCCCTCTGCAATACAAGGCTGTGTTTGGTTTCTTAGAAAATTATTGAAAAAGAAAAAGTTGTGGGAAAATCCTCAACGCATTATTATTATTATTATTTTTTTTATGAAATCCCTTGAAAACTCCTTACAATTTTCCTTTTCTCACTTGTTTTCAAGAAACTGGACACAACTTAAGTGAATTAAACAAGTTAAAATTATTACCTGCCATGTCCTTATATGAATAACCAAACAATTTAAATTATCACATATATTGGCATTACAATACTGTAGTCTGTGTTTGGATTTGGAGGTGGAATTGGAATTGTCAGTTGCACAGTATCCTGATTACGCTGATTGGGACTTGAGTGCATTTTTTGGCATTATGGTGTTCAATCAAAAGTAGGGGACTTTTGCCTTTAATCACCGGACACATCTCTGAACTTAAATATTTATGCATAAACTCACACAGATATATAGTTGTTCAAATAACTATTTTTTTAATAAGTAATTGTTCAAATTACTATTCATACTGTATATAAAATGTTCCAGCTGTCTTGAAAAAATTCTCAACTTTTAGAGCAATCAAGTGATATTTTAGCAATTGTAATACTTCATATCCATCTGGATTTATGTAAGTTGGGACCGTTAGGTAAACTAACATCTTAGATGTGCTTTTATTTCTGTGTACGTGTACCAACTGCCAGTGAACTGTTGTCCTTTCTACGTTATCCTGTGCCTTCTATATATGGTTTAAGTGGTGCAAGAATATTATGGGTTGGGATAGCGCATCTATAGAATGTGTTTGAGTGTGTTCTGTGCATGTGTCGCATGCGTGCGCATCTTCTCTAAAGGTTCTATTGGAACCAGGTCCTATACAGTCACAATTGGGTTTGGATAGATGAGCCAAGTTCTACCTGGTACATGTTAAATATAATCTAAGTTCTTGTTCTGCCCAACATGTTCATGGATAAACCTCCTTTACTCAGTTTGGCTACTATAGTAAGGGCTATAGTGTATCAATGAATCATAGTTTTTTTTTTATATTTTTTTTTAATATGGACTAGTTCATTGGTTTTCACTCATTATGTATTATTTACTTGAAGTTTTAATAATTTAAAAATGACTGATAGTTTTAAGTTACTTTAAGTGGTTCTCTAAATTTAACTTTTAAATTTCTTCTATTTGGTTGCAAGGTGCCAACCAGTGGGTTGGTAAGGTCTTCTGCTGGTTGTAGTGAAGAGTTGGAGACTTGGGGATCGAATCCCACCTGCACCTGGGTTGGGGGATCCCCCCCGGTTGTGTAGCCCTTCAAAAGAAATCATAAAAAAGAATTTATTCTATTTGGTTGCTTTTCCTTTCTATTTGCTTGGTATTTTTTTATTAGAATGCTGGATAGTTTATTTCTCATTTACTTGCATTTTACTGTCTTGCAAACAATTGATCCAGTTCCCAAAACTCCTTGAACAACCTTGCCCCGGTGGCCCAGTGTTTGTAAAACATGATTCAACAAGGCTTGGGGGATTGAATTCCAAACCTGGAATCAAATCCCACTCTTGTTATGGTAACCACAAACCAATTGACTCCTGTGGGTTCTTTTCCAAAAAAGAGAAAAATAGTTGCATCTTTATAATAAACCCTATTTTATTTTGCTTTCTTTTTTTGTCAAAAAGTTTAATAAACTGTGCTGAATTTGTTTCTGTATTTTATGGTATTTAGTTTTGTGAGTTTGGATCAATTTTAATCTAATTGAAAGGCTGGATGCTGGTTGATTAGTTAATCTTTTATTTTCGTTTTTTTATCAGGAAATCTTTTGTTTTCTTTTCAATGATTTTGTTTTATTCATTCTAGGGTTGATGATCACAAAATGATACTCCAACACACTTATCCTTGCGGCAGGCTTATATTTTCTCTACTGGAAATAAGAGGGATAAAATCATGTAGAGATTAGAAACAAGAGGTTTAACTAGGATTAAAACAGAATATATGCTATGTAAATTTAATAATAATGGGGGTGCAAATTAGGGTACAGTTAGGATTGGACACCAAGAGATAATTCAATGTGACCTTTTCCATTACCTTAGTTTGATAATTCATAACAAGGAGAGATTGAGGAGGATGGCACTCATAGAATTAGAGCAGGATGGGCAAAATGAAGGGGTTCATCTGTAGTCTTATGTGATAAGCGAATACCACCTRGATTAAAATGAAAATTCGATTAAATAGTTGCAAGGACAACACTGCTGTATGGAGTAGAGCATTGGGCAGTTAAGATACAACTTGTCCAAAAAAATAAGTGTGGCAGAAGTGTGTCTACTGATTGAGATGGATGAGTGGAAAAACTAGAAAGGATAGGGTCAGAAATGAAGTCATTGGAAGGAACCTAGGTGTAGCTCTAATGGGTGGTAGATGAGATAAAGTAGACCAAGATGGTTTGGTCATGTGCTTAGAAGACCACCTACAGCACCTGCAAGTTGAGGGGCTAGGGGCAGACCAAAAGGGACATGGGTCGAAGTAGTATGAAACAACATAAGTGCTCATAATTTAACAATTGATATGGCACTAAATAGAACCGAATGGAAAAACAGTATCCATATGGCCGATCCCATATAGTTGGGCTTAGGCTTAGATGATGATGATCCTTGTAGTTTTGGCACCTCATTTTTGTCACCTAGAAAGAAGAAGGGTAAATCATATGGGCAGGGGTGTGGTGTCCCAGTTTTAGAAGGAACCTGAATGATTGGGAAGTGGAGCAATGGGAGGAGTTGATGCAGATCCTGAGTGCGACAAGGGTGGACAGTACAAGGGGGGGGGGGATTTGGGCTAAGGAGAAATCAGGTAGGTTCTCAGTCAAATCTTTTTACAGTAGCCTTTGCAGGGAGGAGGAAGATAATTTTCCCGAAGATCCCGTATGGAGGACGGTGGCTCCTCTAGAAGTATCCTTTTGTCTATGGATGACAGCCTTAGGGAAGTGCTTAACAGCTGACATTTTGACAAAGAGAGGTTGGGTAGTAGAACCAAGCAAATGTGTCCTATGTGGCAACAATTTTGAAAAGTTGGAGCATCTCTTTCTGCACTGCAGATTTAGTTGGGTAGTTTGGATGAAAATGTTAAAAGTTTTTGGAGTTCAGTCATGCCTCCCAAGGAATGCATTGGATGATTTGGATCTGTTATGGGGCTGGGGGTCTAAGGGTCGGAAAGAAACACGGGACTCTTTGAAAATCAGTTGAGATCAGAGGAGGAACTCTTAAAGAGCATTTGGGGAAGGTTACACTCCTGGGTGGCAATGCACAAACTGTTCAAGAATTGTCCTTACAGTTCTCTTTTGGAGTATAGAAATATTTGTGTATGTTCTTTTTTGGTTTTTCTGAGTTGTACAAAGTGCTTGCCTTGCTCAGTGCCTCAGTGGGCAAGGCTGTATTTATTTCAGTCTTCTGTAATGAAATACTTTACCTTTTTTCTCTCTCTAAAAAAATCTGCTTTACTTGTGACTATTTGGGAAAAAAGAAACACCAGATTTTCAAGGGCAAAAACCAAATAAAGGAAGCTCTCCAGTTATGAACCTAATCAATATGAAGACATTGAACCTATTGATGTGTTCCAGCCTTTTTCTACTAACATATCATTTGTAATTTGGCATATGGTGGCAGATTCTTCCAGACATTTTTCTACTAACATTATCACCTGGTCTCCTCCAGTCATGTACCTAATCAAGATGAGCTTTGATAGCTGTAGTTTGGGCAACTGGGGATATCTGGAATTGGTGATTTGGCAACCAAGAAAACACAATTCCCAATACTTTTTTGAAATCCTCTTCTTTTGAGCTCTGCCTCCCATCGAAAGTTCTGCTATTTCTTTCACACCACACTTCCCAAAAGATTGCTGTAGGAATGATGCTCCAAGCTACTCTTCAAGCCTTGCTTAACCCCCTATGGATCCCTTTGCATCAGTCTTTTTTTTTTTTTTTAATCTCAACCTCAAGCATATCCAATATTCTTCTCCAAATCCAATACACAAACTCATTGCTACAGAAGGTGATGATTTGTGGTTTCCACACTTACATTACATGGTGCAACTCTCATCCACCGCCTCTAAACCTCTTCTGATTAAGTTGTCCCTCGTTAAATCTTATCAAGTACTGCGGACCAAACAAAGAAAGCCAATTTATATGACACATTTCTGATCCATATCCTATCACTTGGGAAGTCAGAGGCATCCTCCCTTGTCAAACTGTTGTAAAAAGATTTAACATAAAATTCACCTAATTTCTCAAAAATCCACCTCTTTTGTCTTCCCATGCACCATTCATCCTTGAGGCATACAAAATCTGTAACAAACTAATCAAGTAAGTCACCTCCCAGTCATTTAGGTTCCTTCGGAATTGAGGGTTCCAAACACAACACCTATTCTGCCTTTCTATACATTCTTCCAACATTGCACTCTTGTTCCCAGCAATCTCAAAGAGGTCAGGGTACAAATCCTTGAGGGGGCCATCACCACAGTAGTGATCCTTCCAGAAAAAGACCCTTTATCCGTTACCAACATCATATTTTATGCCCTTCATAAACTGAGTGTGAGTTTTCTGAATTGCCTTCCAGATTGAACATCCATAAGAGGATCTTATATCTTTTGTTTCCCAATCTCTGCTACTAGAGCCTTACTTGGATACAATTAACCTTCTCCACAACTGTTCAGCTGCTCGTTAAACCTCCACATCCACTTCCCTAACAGGGCAGTGTTGGCTTCCTTCACCAAATGCCATTTAGCTTCCTCCTTCCACTCCCTCCACAAAAAATCTCTGGTATTCTTCTCCAACACAGCAACCAATACTGCTGGTAAGTTTTAATGGCTGACTTCCCAACGAGGATATCTGTAACAGTATGAAGAGTGATAACTAGTGGGGTTAATAGTACTAGCTTCCTTGTACAACTCTCTACATATCGTTTCATTTATTTAATTAGGAACTTGACCTGCTACTGATAAAAAAAGTCATTGTAGCTTTTCCTTTTTATCGCCAATAATGGATAATGAAGCTGACAAACTGTATTATATGTGAAAGGCTATTTACATGAGAATATGCACAATAACTTTGCAAATAACAAGGTCAATCACTACCAAAACTACTAGGACTAAGAGATTACCACTACATGCACAAAATCATTCCAGACATGGGAAGGACATGGACTGTTGAATTTGGTTCTCCAGCAGTCTGTCTGGTTTGCACCCTTAGCCATGCCAAAATCTCCATAATTAATGCATTTTGTCTGTTCCAATATATTTGAGTTTTTTTTTTTTGTTTCTAGATTTTTTTTTCTATAGGGTGGATTATCCTTCTAGAACCTTGGCTTCTGAAATTAAACTCTGTTTTAGATGGATTCTTAGCTTAGCTGACTCTATGCCCATGGAAGACTGGACCAACTTAGATTTGTTGTGCACCTCTGGGTTGGCCTTGATTTGGTTTTTGTGGCACCTCCTTGAGGTTGTTTTGCCTCTTCAACCTTGTTTCCTTAGGCATGGATTTTTTTGTACTCTCTTCTCTTTTCCAATCTTAATGAGTTTCTTTCTGTTCGG